GGGATACCTCTCCGAGAGGTGTAGGGAAGGGAGAAAGATGGCGGAAGGTAGCGACGCGACTGGACGGCACCTTTTCCGGTACAAATACCCGGCCCAACTCGGCTGTCTGCACGGATTTCATACCGCTCGAACCGCTCAGGTACCGGTGCTACCAAGTCGTCGCCCTGTTCCACTCCCTCTGGAAAGGGAAGGAAGCGGCACGGCCGGGAAGCACTCCTGCTCGCCCCAGTGCTCGGACAGTGTGGACTGTCTCTGCGGATTTCATACCGCTCGAGTTCTCCGGACACCGGGGTTCGCGGGGGGCGCCACCGTTCCCGTTACCGCTGGGAAAAGCCTTTCTTGGCCCCACGTCTCACCATGGACTAGGCACGTGGGCGGAGGGAAGAGTCCGCCCTTTGGGGCGCACGGACAGCCAGGGCCCCGTGGGCCGTCTGGACGTGGCGGCGTCCAGACGTTGCCCGACCTTCACCACGCGGAGGTGGGGTTGGCTAATGAGAGCAGCGGGGGATGCTCGAGGCATGCCTATATCACGCCGCTCCCTTTGAGAGTCGCCAAATTCCGCAATGGCACGGTGGTCTCGGATCGGTAAATTTCAATGGGATCCCTCTACGCCTCTACGCCTCGGCTTATCTGTTGATATGCTCGGGTGGCCGGATGCCGTTATGCGCGGTGGCGTGATGCATCGCGGTGCGATGATGTCATACTGAACGCGTTCGTTCGTGTCTAAGCGAGTTCGCTCCGCGAATATTCTTATACTATAGGGTCGTACAATAATTATGGTTTCTTAATTTGTAGAAAATAATAATGACAATGTACATTTCTATATATTCTTCCGCTAATCCCCTCGTCATGTATGGCTTTCTATTAATTATTTCCCTGCGGGTGTATATCAGTTGGACACGGGGCAATTGGACACAGTCCAATCACAAGTCGCTGTTCCAAGGGACCCTACAAATGTCTCTAATCACACGGTGCTGTGATTGGCTGTGTCCAAATGCACCGTGTCCAAGTGCACCGCTCCCTTTCCCTGCTCCTTATATGTGTGCCATTAACACTACTGACATACTAGATTTTAATTTTAGCCGTCTTTGACGATTGAATTAGTAAGACTCGTCGTTGGAATAAAATATTTCGTGTACTACTTCTCAGGTTAGCGCAAATCGGCCTCAGGTCAATGTGGTATTTTAGCATCGCAGTGGTCGTAAAAATTTAAAGATTTTTGGGACCTGGGAGCTGAGACGTTACAAAGAACGGTAATAAAACGGTAAAGAAACGGTAAAAAACGGTAAAGAACGATAAAGAACAGTAAAAAATTGTAAATAACGAGAATGAAACAGTAAAGAACGGTAAAAACGGAAAAGAAACTGTAATGAAACGATAACGGCTACCAAAAATCGTATAAACGATTACCGAAACGGTATATTCCAATATTTATATCAAAAGTGCAGTCCAAAAATATTCATGTAAGATCTCTGTCTCTCTCTCTTATGCATCACAATGTAGCATTTTAGTGCTGTCGCATTGATTTGTGGTTGACAGTAAGATGCGCAGAAAATGTGAAACCAAATATTATCATGAAAATCATAGAAGTATGCATATTTTGCACGTTTTGAAACATATAAAATCATATGTATTACATCGGCGCATAGTTCAGTCGAGACCCAAGCAGCAACAGATACGGGGACACAAGCAACAAATTGAGCAACAAAATGAAGAATAAATCAAGAAAGATATCCATGGTGCAGTTTTTGCGTGACAGAGAACTCGGTTTGCGAGGAATAAACAATGTGGTGTGAAGGAAAATGTTAAAGTTATCAAGTTCTAATCTCTAAAAAGTTGGCTTCATAACTTAGTGCAGGAGCATGCCAATCAGATAGTGGAAAATGCACATATGATTACGACTGAGAATGCAAGTGAGAGAAACACTAAATTGAATGAGCTTGTAATGCACCCAGACATCAGAATGCTAAAGAACTATAACCTTCAAAATTTCTATATAAAAATTCCAGCAGTTAGTGGCAAGTTTACACGTATAGTGTTCTTTCATGACATACATTTATATGATGATTTGTTGATTGCTGATTTGCCAATTTTTATGATAGAGCGACACGATAAACGCGAACTTTTTATGTGTTACCGAGACAGTTTACAGTGGCCAAAAATAAATAAAATTAGTTGGGACGATGAGTGGAATGAATTTATGCTTTACACCAATAAAATACGACGATGTCCGTATAGTGAGTCGAATCTGATCCTCATGTTAACACATTAATTGACAGATTGAACGATAAATTGAGAAATTCTCAGTGTAATCTTAAGTATCACAATGCAACATTTTTTGTGCTGACAATGTGTGGATGTGGATGACTGCGTGTGCGACATATGATGTTACTATTAAAGAACACGTTAGGCTATGCTGATTTTGCACATTTGCAACCCTCTCCAAACGAGGCATGTTTGTTAGACCGAGATGGTGATGGACCATATAAAAGTCATCCAGGAGTCGCCGACAAATAGTCAAAGTTTGAGTCGTGTACGCGGAATTCGAGGTGGTGTTAATTCCGCTTCCGCCGGTACACCCAGCGCAGGGCTCGCGAACATGGGCTGATTACCAAGGACCGACTTGTGATTGTGATAATTTAATAAAGTGCGATAGTTAAACTTAATACAGTAATATCAACTTTTATTGTTGGATTACAATAGCCACAAGTGACTCTTACACACAAACAGACTTTGCGAGAAACGAGCGGACACGTGAGGAAGCAGTCGTTACTGCTGAGATGAGATCGTGGAGTCAAATTTCGTTATGAGATCGGGATACTGGCTTCGTGATCTGATCGCTCGACTTCTTGCGCGATCATTTTATAAGTGTCGCGTCGGCTACGCTGGCCGATCTCATTGGTTCCGATGTCGCGAAACCGTCGCTAGAGTTAAGCGAGATCTTATTATGGTCGAGACTCGGCTCTGAAAAACGATGATGTAGCGTTATTGTGGTGTGCTGCCGATTCCACGTAATCGCGCCGAGATTCGCCGAATCATGTTTTGATTCAGCAGCACAACACATCGCTCGTGAGACACTGTTGTTATGCGGTCTCCTAGCTCATTTGGTCTTATTATTCGAATGCTTCAAGAATATTCCTAGAGAATATTCCAGAAGCAATTTGAGGTAACCGAGCCGAATCCCGAACATACCGCTCGCCTCAAAACTCGCATTTCGAAACGAGTATACAGGGCCGCACGAGACGTCGAGTGGCCAAGAAAGATCTGAGCGGTTGCCGCCCGCCTTGCGGCGATCCCCGTGTATCATTTAATGACTTAGAACATTTGATAAAATATGATATAGTGATATCATATTGATGCATGAAGATACAAAGAAAACGAATGCAATTTAGAAGAAAAGAAAAGAACAACGGAAGCACGCTATACGCAACTAATAACATACAAAAGGAAGAGAAAGAAGAAGCAAGAGAAAAAAAAAGAAATTGAAAGTCCTCCAGAGCGGATGCTAACACAGAGGGGAAAGAGGTCGTATCTCTTTCTTCCTCTTGCTTCTCTTGGACATATCTGGAGCTTAAGACGTCTCCGGTTCGCCCTCAATCGGCAGCACGCATATTTTGACAATCGGTCGCAAGTATTCCGCGGTGGCCGTTTTGACGGTAACGACACGCGTTAACCCGTCTCGTCCGGGGTGACACCTCGTCACTCATCCCAATTCCCATTTACACGGAGGCAGTGCGGGATTGCGAAGGAGGACGAGCTGCTCTACCTTGATCGGCGGCTGAGTCCGTCGCCATTTGCTCCTTTGCTGAAGCGTATTAATATAGTCATGAGCCCATAGTTTCCAGAATCGCTCCGAGAGTTGCCGAATGAGCTGCCATCGAGTGAGACGGTTCTCCTTAACGTTGAGCAGTGAGGGCTCAGGGCTTGCAGTTATCGCGGATCCGATCAAGAAATGACCAGGCGTCAACGGTTCATAACTATCGAGAGTGTCGTTCAGAGGTGCAATCAGACGAGAATTTAGACACGCTTCAACCTGATAGAGTAGAGTTGTAAACTCTGAATAGAGAGTTGTAAACTCCTCAAAGCAGAGTGCATGATCTTTCAGAACGCGGCGCAAGTGATGTTTTAGACTTCGAACTCCAGCCTCCCATATTCCTCCGAAATGTGGAGCTGCTGCTGGGATAAAGTGCCATGTGATATTATCACTAGCCGTCGCGTTCTGAAAGTCCGGATCATGGAGAGCAGCTTGATAAGCACTGCGCAACTCACGGTCAGCTCCGACAAAGGTAGTTCCGTTATCGGAATACATGTCTTGCGGCAGTCCGCGGCGAGAGCAGAAGCGAGAAAACGCATTGAGGAATGAAAGCGTCGCGTAATCAGAGACTAATTCTAAATGAATCGCTCGCGTGGCTAAACACACAAACAGCGCTATATATGCTTTTCTCGTGGTAATGCCTCGTCCTGCGGACGGCCGCACTCTTACCGGGCCCGCGTAATCGACTCCGCAGTGCTGAAACGCGCGAGACGGAGTTTTTACTCGTGCTATAGGAAGTTCACCCATGAGTTGAGACGGGGTAGCAGCTCGCTCACGAGCGCATACCACACATTTGAAAATGATGGCCTTGACGAGGCTGCGGGCGCGAAGAATCCAAAACTCGCTTCTCAACACACTCAACGTTAGCTGTAGTCCGGCGTGTAAGGATCGGTTATGAGCTTGTTTGATGAGCAGAGTGACGAGGGGATGAGACGCGAGGAGAATTGGATGTCGACGATTATAATGAATAGGCGCATTTCGCAACCGCCCGCCTACTCGGAGGAGTTTGTCTTCATCGAGGAATGGGGATAACGATGAGAGAGGAGTTTTAGGAGACAGTGTTCTGTTTTGAGTAAGATCCCGAATTTCGATAGGAAACAGATTTGATTGTATGCGTTTGATCCAGAACTGTCTGCTCTGATTACATTCCGCTGCGGTGAGAGCACGAGTTTTAACCGCGATAGTATTAGAGCGACAGGGCGTCCTGCGAAGGCGAGATATAAATTTAAAGAGATATGCAGTAATGCGAATGAGTTTTGGCCACGAAGAAAATCGAGAAGAGAGATCATCAGTGGTTTGGTGATTTGCAAGATAAACTGCTATGACCTTTGCTTCCGGCAGCGGCTTGTCGTCGACAAATGATGGAGACTTTGGCCAGTGGAGCTCAGAGCGCGACAACCACGAAAGGCCCTGCCACCATAACGAGTGAGCCAGCAGCTCCTTCCCTATTAAACCCCGAGAGGCACAGTCCGCGGGATTGTCCTCCGTGGGAACGTATCGCCACTCAGCGGTGGACAACCGTGCCTGCACCTCGGCGACTCGGTTAGCAACAAACGTTTTCCACTGCGATGGGTGGTGCTTAAGCCACGATAACACGATCGACGAGTCCGTCCAGCAGAAGCACGAAGTTATTCTCGTCTGAAGTGATTTGTTAACGAAGTCGAACAATCGAGATAGTAGAACCGCTGCGGATAGCTCAAGACGAGGGAGAGTAAGCGGCGTCAAAGGAGCTACTTTAGATTTGGCCGCAACTAATGAAACGCTTACCGTGCCTGAATTGGTAATCACCCTTAGATAGATCACCGCTGCATACGCCTGAGTGGACGCGTCGGAAAACCCGTGAAGTTCCGCTTTAAAAACATTTGCATCCAATCTGAGCCATCGGGGAATTGTGATGCTGCGTAAAACTTCAAGGCCCGAGTAGATGAGGTTCCACCGTGATTGAAGTCGCGAAGGAACCGGATCGTCCCATTCTGATTTTTCGCGCCATAACGCCTGCATTAAAATTTTGGCCGCAACAGTGATGGGGGTTAGCCACCCTAACGGATCGTACAGTTTGGCGATTGTGGAAAGAATGGATCTTTTACTGTCGGAAGCGGGAGCAGAGGGTGAGACGTCTATCTGGAATACGTCGAGGGACGGATTCCATTTGATTCCCAGGAGCTTGATCTTTTCATTAGCTCCCAGTTCCTTGGAGCAGGCTAACCCGTGGTCGCTCGCGTCAATGTCCGACAGGAGATCAGTCGAATTACTAGTCCACTTTCTTAATTCAAAACGACCCTGTCGAAACAGCGAGACTACTTGATGATGAATCTGCCTAACATGGGACTCGTCATCGTCCCCGAACAGCACGTCGTCGACGTAAAGACTGTCGCGAAGGACCGGAATCGCCAAAAAAAATGAGGACCCTTCGTCTGCGACTAATTGTTTAATGACACAAAGAGCTAAGAATGGAGCGCAAGTCAGCCCATATGTGACGGTACGAAGTTGATAATCCAAAGGTGCGTTGTTAAGCGACCGATTCCAGAGAATGCGCTGATAATTGCAGTCGCGTCGATCGAGAGCAATCTGGCGGTACATTTTTGCGATGTCGGCAGTGTATACGAATTTAAATTACGCCATTGAGTAATTACCGCCGAAAGATCATTTTGGAGTTTTTCACCGCAAAGCAAGTGGTCGTTTAAACTCGAACTATTAGTGGTTAAACTTGAGGCATTAAAAACGACTCTCAAATGCGTCGTCGCGCTATCCGTTCGAATAACCGGATGGTGAGGTATGTATACGCATTGTTCGTCAGGATCCGAGGGTGTTAGTACAAGACGCATATGACCTAACTGTTCATATTCTTTTAAGAACTCGTCATATTCTGCGAACAGCGCAGGCTGAGATTGTAACCGGCGTGATAATGACTTCAGGAAAATTTGTGCTTTCTCTCGCGAATTTCCGATGTCCACCGGAGGACCCTTCCGCAAAGGAAGCCGAACTATATAACGGCCGTCAATCGCCCGAGAATGCGTGGTGAGGAAATGCTGTTCGCACTGCTCATCCTCCGCCGACCGCGAGATTTGACGAGGAATCTTCTCAACTTCCCAAAATTTTCGAATTTCGTCATTGAGCGAAAGCGAAATCAAACAGTGATGCACTGACAAGCTTAAGGCTGCCCGTTGTCGAACGATATTAGCTGAAGGTGTCGAAGAAGGTTCGGACAGGGATTGAATAGGGCCTGACAGGATCCAGCCAAAAATGGAATTTTGAGCGGTGGGCTGGTCTGGCGTGCCCTTGCGACGGCCGTCCAGAACGATCTCATTATATAAGTCCGAACCGATGATTAGATTAATAGGATCGCTACTTGTGGGATCAGGATCGGCAAGGGATAATCCAGTCAAATAAGGAAAGTGCGTGAGATCTCGTTGCCGTTGGGGCGCGTACAAAGAGATCTTTTAGAATGACCGCGCTTGTTGAGTATGCCGGTGTAAACGAGTTTAGCGGTGAGAACGTAATGTTGGTCGTGAATCGCGCAGTGCCCGCGTGCACCGCTCCAACAACGGAGATCGATATAGGCAAGCGATTTCGTTTAGCGCGCAAAAGTTGAGCGATATTTTCCACAAGAAAGGTCACCTGCGAGCCTTGGTCAAGCAACGCTCTTACCGCTACTGTGCGTTCGGCCGACACGCTTACTGTTACCCATGCCGTCGCGAGGAGAATCTGACTTAATGATTTGTGAAGCGATGCGGTGTGAGACACTCGAACGTCGGATTGAGGCTCGACGGCAGGAGTTGGCCGGCTAGCAGCGGACAATGCCCCTGATGTTTCATCGCGCAAATCCGAGTTTAGATGTAACATACTATGAGATCTCTGAGCACACATTCGACACGAGTATTTGCTGCGGCAATCCCGTACCGCGTGATTTTTGCTAAGACAATTGAAGCATCGACGATGCTGCTTTGCTAAGTTGCGACGTTGACTTGGATTCGCGCGAGTAAACGTTGGACATGCACTAAAAGAATGCCTCGCTTGACAGAGTGGGCATGCGGATGAAGAGGTCTCGGACGCAGTTGCTAAGTGCACTTTTGTCGCGGCGATCGATTTCGACGCTGGCTTCTGAACCGGCCCACTGGCAAACTCCTCGAGAGCGCGAGTGCGATTTCTAAGGAATTGAGTTAAATCCGCAAACAACGGCGGCTCGTCACCTTCGGTAGGTTTCAGATTCCACGCCTTGCAAGTGACTGAATCTAATTTGCTGACAACGACGTGTACGAGTAAGTCATTCCAGAGTGAGTCCGGGGTTCTGTTGAGTAATTGCAACGATGCGACCGCGATATTCACTTTATCCAGCATTGATTGCAGCTCGATCGCCGATTCTCGAGAAATTGTCGGGAGCTGAAGCAACACCGAAAGATGCTGAGTAATTAACCGACGCTTATTTTCGTATCGCTTGACCAAGGCTTGCCACGCGATGTCAAAGCTCGCGGCTGTTACAGGGAGATTTCCTATAGATTCGAGCGCGCGACCCGTTATACAAGAAGTCAAAAAATGCATGCGAGCGAAGTCGTCTAGCGCTTTATTATGAATTATTAAAGTTGTAAACTGATCGCGGAACTGTTCCCACTCTTCGTAACGACCGTCAAACGGTGGTAGTCGAAGACGGTAAATGCGAGACCGAAAATGAAGAGAACGGTGCTCTCGATTCAACAATAGTTGTTTGACTCACATATGGCTCCACTTCCTCCAAGCACTCCGTTATGAAGTCGTGCGTGTCGCCTCCTCCGCGGCCTCGAAGAATCCGTCCTTGAAATATTCCAGCGACATTCTCGTAGCTTCAGGAACAGTCTTCAACAAGAGAGCATGGCCTTCCACAAATTGCTTCCAATTCTCCTTCAGCATGGACATCCTTGATCGGATTTTCCCAGGTGTCCAGTTATTCCGACCGAGCTTTTTAAAATTCTCAAGCGATCTCTCGATCATGCGCTTGCCTTGCAGTTGTCGGTGCAATGGATCAGCCATGGCTCGTCGGTCCGATCCAGTCTTGATTTCACTGTGTACCCGTGCTCCGTATCCAACTCGAAGGACCAATTTTATGTACGCGGAATTCGAGGTGGTGTTAATTTCGCTTCCGCCGGTACACCCAGCGCAGGGCTCGCGAACACGGGCTGATTACCAAGGACCGACTTGTGGTTGTGATAATTTAATAAAGTGCGATAGTTAAACTTAACACAGTAATATCAACTTTTATTGTTGGATTACAATAACCACGCAAGTGGCTCTTACACACAAATAGACTTTGCGAGAAACCAGCGGACACGTGAGGAAGCAGTCGTTAAGACTGAGATGAGGTCGCGGAGTCAAATTTCGTTATGAGATCGGGATACTGGCTTCGTGATCTGATCGCTCGACTTCTTGCGCGATCGTTTTATAAGTGTCGCGTCGACTACGCTGGCCGATCTCATTGATTCCGATGTCGCGAAACCGTCGCTAGAGTTAAGCGAGATCTTATTATGGTCGAGACTCGGCTCTGAAAAACGATGATGTAGCGTTATTGTGGTGTGCTGCCGATTCCACGTAATCGCGCCGAGATTCGCCGAATCATGTTTTGATTCAGCAGCACAACACATCGCTCGTGAGACACTGTTGTTATGCGGTCTCCTAGCTCATTTGGTCTTATTATTCGAGTGCTTCGAGAATATTCCTACAGAATATTCCAGAAGCAATTTGAAGTAACCGAGCCGAATCCCGAACAAATCGCGAGTTTAAAAAATGTTCTACACAGTAGAATTTCGGAGATCTCCATTTAAGGAGATGGTTTTATAGATGGTTTTAATAGAAAACCCTCCACGTAAGTTTTTAAATAGATTGGATAATTCAGATTTTTATATTTTTAAATAATAATAATAAATAATTCTATTTTAGCAATTTTCGAGGAAGACCACATAAACGCAGAGTGGTGGTTGGAACAAATTATACGTAAGTTTACATCCAAATTTCATGTTTCTGTATAGAACATAAACGCTAAAATTAATTTTTAAATTAAAATTTTTGATTTTAGAAGGTATATATGAATCAATTGACAGCGATGAGGATGACGAGATAGAAGTACAGTCAACCAATGATAAGAGAGAGCAGACAACATTTTTTTACAATTTGACATCAAATTTCGATTTTTTTCTGTGCAGAGAAACGTTAAAATTAATTTTTAAATTTAATTTCAGAAAATATAGTAGTCATCGATATCGTTGACTCTGATGAGGAGGATAACGACATCGATATCGCCGACTCTGTTGAGGAGGATGATGACTTCGATGAAAAGGAGGAGGATAATATAGAAGTAATTGATATCGCCAACAGCGAAGAGGATGACATAATTATAATAAATTAAACTAACGTAAGAATTATAAATAAAATAATAATAATAATTATTATTATGCATTATTATGTATTATTAAGTATTATAAAATAAAAAGATGTACAAAGTTATAATTAATAATCAAAATTTATCCCCCTCACCAAATCCATACTATTACAATACACTTATACCAGTAAACCACGGTAAAAAGAACGTTAACCATAACAAACAGGCAAAAGAAAGCGTTAAAAAAAACTACCGAAACGTTAACAGCAAAAAAAACGACAAAGAACGGCTATCGAAACGGCAAAATACAGTAGAAACGATAAAAGCGAATACCAGAAAGGTTTAACCGTTAATAAATATGTCTTTAATTTAAGGGATTTAATATAGAAGACAGAGAGAACATTTGTATATTAAAAAATAACAAATATTTATTATTAAATATCAAACAATTCTTTCTGACGCTGAGACAACCACCAATTAAATACTTTTAGTATATTTTGTAACGCACAGTGTTTTGAATGATTTTTACACCGTAAAATGTTGGTTGCATCTAGCTTGTCCAATAACGCAATATCATCGTAATCCGCATCCAGAGTCTCAACGATCACCTTGCCCCTCGCATCATTATCGAGGAGATTCGTCAACCACTCTCGCTTCTCGTATCCCTTGACGTAGACGAGTTTAGATTCTTCGCTGGTTTCACTGATCACAGCGTCTGTAATCAAACGTTGTGCTTTGTTGTATGGGATGATTACATCATTCCATTGCAGACCATGATGATTAGCCGTCAACCGTGCTGCTTTCGATTTTCAGTTCTCGTGAGAAGATGCCACGGCATAGGACTCGCAAAGACATAATGGGACAGAATAGCTCCATTTCCAAATATCGCTATCTCTTTTACGTGAAATCTCATTACGTGAAATCTCAACCGTGAATCCTTGCAGGTCCACAAATGTAGACACGTTCATTTTTATGTGATTTTGCGCACAATGTTGGTCAAGGGATTGTACTCCACAATGCGATCATGCATAATGAGGCAGTAAGCTATGGTATCCATCGGTATATTCTCCTTGCAGTCGAATTCAATTCTCACATCGACAGTGGTGCTCTTGATTCGTTTTGTCGCAAGCAATCAATGACTACACACAGGCAATGAGTGAGAAGTTATATGGGATCGAACACATTGCCATTGTCACATCCGTAATATGATTTGCGGAAACATGCATACATATCG